TGGTCATTTGCTAGGTCAAAAAGCAGAAATTTCCCTTTCTCAGTCAAAACCCTAATTTTGACCATTTTGCCCTTTTTGATGATTTGATCAAATTTCTTGAGGAATTATGGTCCAAACTTGATCAAATGATACATATGAGTCTAAAATGTTGATGTGGATCAAAAATTATGAAGTTTGACTGTAAATTGGCCATGGTTGACTTTTCCCCCAGTACTGCTGATTTTTAGGTCAACTGTCCAATTGACTGGTCAAAAATGTGATTCAAGGCTTGAAACTTGACATGAGTAATATTAGGGGTCCATGATGATACTTGAAAGTCATATGAAGCATTGATAGTCCAAAAATCCTTGTGCAAACTCAAACCCTAATCTTGGGTCATCAGTGCAAGATGAGATGTCTTGAGTTGATCAAACCCTAATCCAGTCTTGAGTCAAAGAGATCTTATGGGGAAAATCTTGATAAATGAGAGGGAAAATTTTAGGGTAAAACAGTCACCATCCATGGTGGTCAAGATCATTGCGCCACCAGAGAATATGTTTTTGATTACAAATGGTCATTCATATGTAGGAGTCCATTTGCCCCTGGGATTACCTTGCGGCAGTATGATGCGTTTGATCACCAAATACCCAACTTGATACACTTGGCGTATGATCTTTTTGTTGAAACCCTTGATCATCCATTTTTGATACATTTTACCATGACAGACAGCAATAAGCCTTTTCTCATCGATCAAGTTTAGTTGATCAAGTCGAGTCTGGATCCAATCCTCTTCATTCAGCCCTGCATCCTTCATGATTCTTAGAGAGGGGATCTGGACCTCAATAGGCGAGACAACCTCCATTCCGTATACCAAAGAGTAGGGTGTTGCCCGGGTTGATGTGCACGCTGTGGTACGATACCCGTGGAGAGAGAATAGTAGCATCTCATGCCAGTCTTTGTATGTGACTGTCATTTTCTATATGATCTTTTTGATGTTCTTATTCGCGGCTTCGACAACACCATTCATCTTTGGTCGGTAAGGGGAAGAATTGTGATGCTAGATCTTGAATTGCCCGCTCAGGGAGGTGATCATAGTGTTGTTCAGGTTCATATCATTATCTGTAATGATCCTCTCCGGGATACCGTAACGACAGATGAGATTCTTTTTGATGAACCGGGCGACAACATTCTTGCTGACAGAAGCGAAGGAGGATGCCTCAACCCACTTTGTGAAATAGTCAATGGCCACTAAGATGAAGTGATGTCCATTAGAGGTTGTTGGCTTGATTTCCACAATCATATTGATGCCCTACATAGCAAAGGGCCAAGGAGCCGTCAAGATATTCAGAGGAACCGGAGGTACGTGCACTTTGTCAGCATAAATCTGACACTTATGGCAGATTCGAGAGTGTTGATAGCAGTCTGCTTCCATGGTAGACCAGTAATAGCCTGCCCATAGGATCTTATTTTCTATCGTATGCCCACTGGAATGGGTGCCAAAAGTTCCTTCATGTAACTCAACCATGATCCTTTCAGCTTCAACCTTGTCTACGCACCAAAGTAACACAGAGTCATGGTTGCGTTTGTAAAGAATGCCATTACTAAGGAAGAACTTAGTAGAGAATCTCCTTAGGAACTTCTTATCATTCACTGAAGCTCCTTCTGGATATTTTTGAGCCTCGAGATACCTCTTAACTTTGTGGAACCAAGGCTGATCCACTACTTCTTCAGTATTAATCTCGTGACAGTGAGCTGGTTCATCCCTTTGTTCAATGGTGATCTGAGGAGCCTCGCTATCCCATTTAAGTTTAAACATAGATGACATTGTGGGTAGTGCGTCTGCTAGCTGATTTTCTTCTCGTGGAAAATGCTCGAAGGTAATCTTCTCAAAGTGTGGGAGCAATGTCAATACATGTTCTTTGTAGGGGATAAGGTTAGGGTGTTTAGTGTCCCATTCCCCTTTGATTTGGCTGATGACCAAAGCTGAATCCCCGAATATATTTAAGGATTTGATCCCCAAATCTATGGCAACTTTAAGACCAAAAATGCATGCTTCATATTCTGCCATGTTGTTTGTACAATTGAAGCAGAGTCTTGCCGTAAAAGGGGTATGACACCCTTCAGGAGATATGGATACAACACCAATATCATTGCCGAGTGCGTTAGATGCTCCACCAAACTGATCAAATGCAAACATTTATAAATGGTATGAGAATTAAGGCAAAGAAACTGATAGACACAACAACTGGTGGCTCATCAAATTTCTCAATAGCCACTGGTGTGAAGAAGATAATAGAAGCAATTACTACAAATGAGCATTTGGAGTTATATGACAGAGTTGCCAGCAAGTCTGAAGGGGTCATTGATTTAAAGTTAGAGCCCAACAGACAATTAAAAATTGAAGAAAGAATTGTTGTAGAGGTAGACAAGAAGCCGAAAGCACTGAATTTAGGTACTCATCAAGTTTTCCAAGTTCAACAAGCACAAAATGTTGTGTGTGAAATCTGTAATGGGCCACACAATACGATGCACTGTTTAGGTTCTCCACAACAAATTGAAGACATTAAGGTTCTGGGTTCGAACCCCAGCGAGACCTTTTGTATTTATTTTGTCATTTTTTCCAAACTAACATGTAGGTTTATAACATATTGAGTGTTGGTTGTTTTGAATGGAAGGTGTGGAGAACCTGGGTTCAAATCTTGGCAGGACCAAAACAAATTTCTATCACTTGTTTGTTTTCATTTTTTTTAACAAACTTCAACATTTTTTTCAACCAATCAAAAAAACTCCTTTTGAGTTAATTTTTTGCACACTATTTATTTACAATGTCTATTTTATGAATATATAAAAAATATCACAAAAAATATTTTATTTTCATATTTATTTTAATTAACCAAAAGTCTTCCATAAAAAACCATAAAAAAGGATTTCTTGATTAATTTGATTTCCTTTTAACTTAGGATTAATTTTCCTATTTTTTATTAATCATATCCCTTTAGGTTAATTAGGTCAAAACAATTTTCCTAACAAAAATCCAAAACAAAATCCATTTCTTTTTATATTCCTTGTACATTATATTCATGTCATTTCTTGTACAAATTCAATATAGTTGTAATAGATAATTAGGGTTTAATTTCTTACAATCCCCATTTGTAAATTTGTATCCCCCTCCCCAAATGATGTAATAGCGTAGTAAATTTACTTTTTGTAATTTATCGCTTTCATATCAATGCTAGTAAATTAGGGTTTATATGGAAAGATAAAATCAATGCTTAGAAAATCCTAATCCAAGACAAAATCAAGCATGAAATACAAACACTTTGCACACTTACACCTCTAGGGTTAACTCCACTTGTTGCCTTGAGAAAATGCTCATAATATGCATGTGAGACATCTTAGCAAAAATAATCAAAAATACAAGATCATAGTCCCTCGACGACGCTTCAAATGTTGCCTTACAAATGATCTTAGTCTCTTAAGAGAAATGCTAAGATACCTCTAGGGTTTTTGTGTATTGAGCAGAGTTTTAAGGAATGGTTTTGTGAAGATTTTCAAGTTTGTCTCTGCTCCCTTCTTACAGTTTTTGTTATTTGAGCAGAGTTTAACAAGGATTTTGGGTGAGTTGGACAAGGGTTTGCGGTTCAGCACAGATGAGTGGGGTTTGGGTTGCTGAGAAAATTTTGTAGTGGTTATAAGTTTGTGTTAAGTTTTTGAATTTTGCTTGCCCTCCTTTTCTGTTTCTTCTCAGCTGTATTTATAGGTGAGAAAGATGGGATTTGGGGGGAAAGTTTGGTGATTTTGAACACTTTGTTATACTATTTTTTGTTGTTTTTCTGATGCAGGAATTGTTTTGCTAATTTGGTGCAATATTTGGATGTTTATGACATGTTTTGGAGCAGCAACACAAGGGCTGTTTTACAGGTTATCTAGGTACATCATGAGCAAGGTTTTGGGCTGTGTGATTGGCAGGTTTTATGCAGCAATAGCAGGGTTGTTTTTGTGCAATTGTTGGACTGTTTTTGACAATTTTTTCTCTGGTTTTTGCAGGCTGTTTTGTAGAAGGTCTTGGTAGGACAGTAGCAGTTTTGGACTGTTGTATGGCAGCAAGGCCATGGTTTTAGGGCAGCAGCTTTCAGGGTGACAGTAGCTTGGCATGAAGCAAAGTTTTGGATCTTGGTAGTTTTAGGATTTAGGTTTAGAAACAATACTTTTGTTGCAAAGTTTTCTCTTTTATCCAATGCTCGGGATGTGAAGACAACATGAATTGCAATTGATGCTTGTAAACTTTGAATGAATGAAATTGCTTGCAACTTAATTGCACATTTGAACAATTGAACTTGTTAGATCCTTGCTTGTAATTTTTGTAGTTAGGCTTGAAGTGGCATAGAGAAACATAGGTTTAGAACTTAGGACTTTTTATGTAACTTTAAAAGTATTTTGAATTTGAAACTCAAAAGTCTTTTAGAATGCACTTGAACAAATTTCTTTGGTGATCTCGTGACAATTAGGAACTTCCTCATGACACTAGTATAAATGTCTCAAATATGTCTGGTAGTGTTGAAAAGAGATCTTATTGTTCCAATTAATTACATGGTATAATTTGTAGAAAATTTAAGGAGAGAAAGTTTTTTAGGGTACCGTTTTCTTTTTTTATTTCAAATACACATTTGACATGGGAAATTAGTTAATACCTTCTGTCAGATTTTCTTTGAGTTTCTGAAAGTTAGAAGAAGAAGAATCCGATGGAAAAAATGCAGATTTCTAGTTGTGTTTTTTATATGATTCAAACAAACATATAAGCTATAGTAAAAAGTGTATGCATTTTATTATGGCAATTGTAGGTGATTCAAGATATTGTTATTCGCCACTTATAAATGCATGCAAATTTAGATTAAGATTGGGATAATAAGGCCATACTTTATTGTTTTATTATCGGAACTGAAGTTCTTTACTACAATACATTCAAAATTTATTATTTATGATAAGATGGCCATCTCATTATTGCACTCCTTAGCATGATCTCAATTAGATTGAGATTGAGACTGAGGGTGAACCAGAGGGCCACGGTTTCCACTGAGCTTTAACTCTGTGACTTGGCGCTGACGAAGACCAAAAGCATTTGCAAGAACATCTGCAGGAGTGGCCCTAAACACCTGCTGTACGTGGCTAACAGCAGCTCTGTCATTTGTCTTGAACACAAGATACTCTAATCCTTCTTCCTCTCCAGCTTGTTCCGCCACCACAAAGTTTTGTGGTACCACCACCAACTGTCCCTTTCTCACCTTGTTGTCGAACACTGCGTTTCCTTGGGAGTTCACAATCCTAACTCTTCCTTCTCCTCTTATCACGTACAGCAGACTGTTTGCGTTTATGTTCCAGTGTGGAGCATATATACCATTCTGCATATACATACATGCATATGCATGTTATTGATTAGTTTATTAAAAAATCATTTATATGAAATATAGAAATTGGTTAAATAGTTAATACTATACGTACCCTGTAAAGACGAACATATTCGGCACTGAGGCGTAAATAGCGGAGGATTGGAAGGGTTAAACTGTTTGCGGTGCTGATACTACCGGCACGTGGGTTATAGAGGTCTGCACGTGCAGGCTGAGCAATGTTCTCACGAATCTTGAGACTACAGATGGTTTCTTCCAAACCATTCCTTCCCTGCTCACTTCTCTGCTTCTCCTCCTCCTCTTCTTCTTCTTCTTCCTGCTGCCCCTCAGGGTTGATAATGCGGAGACCGCCCTCAACTCTCACGATTTGATTCCTTTTGTCGCGTGGAGAACGAAGTCTCTTAGCTGTATCCTCTTCGGTGTTGAATGTCTGTGCTAAAAACTCTGAACTGAAGCCACTCAAAACGCTGTTACCGTCCTTTTGTTCTTCAGATTCCTCTTCTTGTTGGTGCTGTCCACCCCGACGTCCAACTGGTAAACTATGTTTTTGTTGATGTCTTTCTTGCTGCTCCTCCTGTGTTTCAGGGAACTCTACCTCCGGGTTCCCACCAAGGTAAAATACCTGAAAAACACATATTTACATGCGATTTGATTGAGTTTAAAGTTCTAGAACAATTTATAACAGACAATGTAATGTATAGTTACACTATTACTTACTCTTGGGGTTGAATCAAGCTGGTTTGCAATGTTGGAAGTGTCAAGAAGACTAATGGCAACAAGCGGTTCATCGCCATTGTTATATGTCCAATATGGAATTCCCGATGGAATGGCAATGATATCACCTTTCCTGAATCGGCGAATCTTCTGGTGACTGTCAGGTTGTTGCTGCCTGGATCCTTGTCTAGATTGTGATGAACGTGGCTCTTGGTAAGTCTGGGGACAACCAGGAAGTGTAAGTCCAATAACACCCTTTCCTTGGATGATGTAAATCAACTGTGGAGAGGGTGAGTAAGATGGCAAGTGGAGTCCATTAGGGTCAATGGTGCGTCTGATAAGAGACACACCGGCACATCTTAGCTCAGGGTGATTTGGATTCCATGTCTCAGTGAGACCAGCTTCGGACTCCACACGGTGGTCAGGTTCCAATGCATTGATGTTGTCTAACCGGCATTGGTTGAGTCTGTCAAACTCAGAGCTAGTTGCTAAACATGTGCTTGTAAAGAGAAGCAAGGAAAGTGAAAGCAAAGATAGAAAAGGTTTGGACATTGTGACTGTGATAGTAAACAACTAATGAAGGATTGTGAGTGAAGTGGTGAAGTGGTGAAGTGGAGAAGCTGTGGCGCGGTGATTTATAGGAAGAGGAGAACAGTGAGAGAGTAACACGTGTGACAGAACGTGTGTGACATTCTTCAGCATGCATGGCTATGGAGTCCTAATTTGATACACATCATATGTGCGACGCTGCGCTTGTGGCCGCTTCTTTTATTCTTCACAGATAGATGATGATTAGTAGATATCCATATTCCACAAAGAGACAGAATGAATATCTGTTGCTATTCTTATATACGTGTAGCAGCAAATCTTTAGTTCTCTTCTCTGCATCTACTCTTTGCAAATCACTGTCTTAATTCATTTAGATTATTTACTGTCTTGAGCATATATTAACCTCGGCACTGCTTGTTTACTACAATTATTGGCCTCCTCCATCGAATGAATCAATATGTATTACTTGTTAATATGATTTAGATAGACTCGTCATTCTTTTTATTATTTTCTTTTTCTAAAAAAATAACTTATTTACTAATGGGAGGGACCTTAATTAGTAGTTTAGTCATTTTAACTGTATCACGCACAAGTTTGGTTTTACTATTGAATTAATAAGTTTTATGCAAGTGCAACTTTGAATCATAGTGTCAAATTTGAGAGTATATGGCATATCTTGGTGTTTCCTCTAACTTATTTAAGTTTGGATAATCACTATTTGATACCCTATATACTATTGAGATGCAGGAAAAAGAAATGCATAAATAAATCAATATAACATTTAAAGGTAAAGACAGTAAAAGTTAGCACTTATTGGGTCACTATGGAGTTTAATCAAGTAAGCTGAATATTAAATTTCACATATAAATATTTTCGTTTCACTTAACATCAATCACTTAATACTTATACATATGTGGTGTATTTAGGGATGTTCTTAGGGTGTGACGAAACCTGCCACTCCACATGAGTGCTTTTATTCTTATACCCTTTATTTAAGATTGGATTTTTTTTTAAATACTGTAAATTATCGTAAATTTTTAAAAAATTATAACTTTTACTGCAAGAAATTTGAAAGTACTAGAAATTTGAAATTATAATTTTTGTATGTTTTTATTGGAAATTTTAAAATTTCTGGTAATTATCAAAAAAATTTGAAAATTTGAAATTTCTTATGTACAGTCAGATTGTCTTTTCCACTTTTTGTCTGCATTACTTTTTCTCAAATAACTAAATCGATAAAAAACTACCCGATAAAATATATACATATAAAAACTGCGTTACATATAAGAATACGAAACAAATTATGATGACATCCTAACTATGTCTTTCCACTGCCTAGCGCGTCTCGCATATGTTGATATATACAGTCAGTACAATTCTGTCTTCAACGGTCAGTGACAGGAGGCAATGGACAATCAAGTTTCAACTTTACTTAAACCCAATGATTACTGTTGACAAAACAAACAACAATGATTTTATGTATGCTTGTATACATAGGTGGAGATAAGGCAAGAGGAAAAAACGTGATGTTAAGTCTTTTGGAAGGGAGACAAATACGACATTGTATCTAGAAGCAATAGGGTAATCCATATCATAAATCGTCATTCATTTATCTATACCCTGCACACCCAAGTGTTCTACTCGTAACACATTCCTAACTGTAGAGATCATGTCAAAAAATAACTTAAAAAATAATTGAGGGTGTTGATGAACTTGAGTATCTAACTACGTCTGAATCAAAGGCTATGACTCTTCGCCCCATCCAAATAAAGCTGTAATAGCACGAAAACCCCAATCTCCATCGCCACCAACATCAATAATGTCATCAATGTATGGATATAAGAAATCAGGAAACTGGGACAAGTAAACATGTCTGGAAGATTTGGTGGACGGTTAACTGCCAGCCGTCATACTTGACAGTTGACTTCCAGTTGATTTTATGCATGATATCTTTGTAGTATAACTCCAATGCGAGCCCTCGCCATACTCCCAATATGAAGGATCACGATGCACATCACTATCTTGACCCTTTCACCAAAGAAAAAGTTGAATCCATGATTTAAAAGAATAATAAGGTTAAGGGGGCTATATGGGGGACATAATACAGGACGCCACCCTAAAAACCTTAAATTCATTGTTTTTCTATTTTATTTTATTTATTTTCCATTTTCATATTTTCGAAAAAATCTAGAAAAAAATTATAGACACTTAATTTGATTTTATTTGATTTTTAGTTGTATTTTAAGATTTTATAATTTTATTTTAATCGTTTTACTATTTTCCAATTGTTTTAATCATTTGGAAAATTGGTGGTAATTACATATTTGTTGTATTGCTGATGCATGGCTGCTAAGTGTGCCGATCCGGATACATCCAATTCTAATTTTTTTTTAAAACACAACAGGGAACTTTTCAAATATGCATATTTATTAATACATTTTTTCATTAAAAAAAGGTTTATTTGTGGTGGTGCATATCCGAAAATACATTTTTTCGTAAAAAAATAAGGTTTGTTCGGATATGCATCTCTAAAAATACCTTCATTCGTAAAAATTAATGTTTGTTGGGATATGCATCTCCAAAATTAAGTATTTAATGGAAAAAAGGTCCAAAAATAATTTTTTTCATAAAAAATAAGATTTGATAGAATATGCATCTCTGAAAATACCTCTATTCATAAAAAAAATAAGGTTTATTGGGATATGCATCTCCGAAATTAACTATTTTGTGGAAGAAAAAAAAGTATGTTCAGAGATGTATCCTTGGAGAAGTTTATCCACTATTATGGGTAATTTTTCCATGGAATAGACGTGCTCGACAGTCTCTTTTGGAAACTGGAATCGACCAACATGAAGTTTCTCTGGGTAAATTTCAGTCTAAATTGATATTTTAATTTGGATGTGTGTTTTTATATCTCATTTATACTTATACTTTAACTTTTACCAATAGGCGAATGTACTGTCACACTAGAGGACGTGTACATGTTATTGGGTCTCCCTGTCGACAGTAAGGCGGTTAATGGGTCGGTTCAACAACCCAATTCTCTGTGTGAAGAATTGTTGGGTAGGGATATGGTTGAAGGTGGTGGTGCGAGAGGTCAGGGTATACTACTAACTGAGCTAAAAAATCATTATGCGACTCTGGAATTGAACGAAAATTCCTCCGAGCTAGCTAAGGTAATAAAAGCTAGAGCTTATATAATGATACTATTTTGAACCTTTTTATTTCCCGAAAGTATGGGAAATAGTATAAATTTTATGTATTTAAATTTACTTAGAGACTTCGAGAAAACTAGAAAGTATAGTTGGGGTTCTGCTGTTTTAGCCCACCTATACAGTTCCTTGTGTAAAAATACAATCAAGGAAAAATGTAAATTTTATGACTGCGCTTTTTTACTTCAAGTCTGGGGTTGGTGGAGGATGGAGTCCCTAAACCCCGTCAACAACAACACATTCGTTTTCCCATACACAACAAAGTAATCATTTATTACTATTCATCTCTTCACCAAATATATGATAAAAATAAAATATTTTTCATTTCCTTTAGGTATTGCGTGAGGGGTATGGATTACGGCAAGAATCCAAGATTCAATGTCGCACTATACCGCAATCTATTGGATCACCTTGGCCCAGATGATGTACGTCGTACCTTTCAACTTTTCTACTTTTAAATTACTTATATATTATGTTTTCATTAACCTGATTTAATTTTATCTGCAGTTTGTCTGGAGACCATATTTGGGTTTTGACCATGAACCAAACCCCGAGGATGCAGCAATTTGGAGCGCAAAGACTGAAATCATACAGTTCAATATTGTGGAGATGCACCACAGCGACCGTGTGAAGATGCAGTTTGGAATGCATCAAGAGATACCCAGCGATCCGACTTGTTTGTCCCCGTGGCATCTCAAAAGGGTCGACGCCCAATGGGGTCTTACCAACTGGAAAGACTTTGCTCTAGAATGGTGTAAGATGTGGCAGAGGCGTCACTGACATGTCTTGCAATTTCCAGTTTTCCTCAACCATGGTAATATGTGACACACGGATTAGTATTTATCTTGGTACAGATCGGTTAGTACCCCTGAAATACACGTGTCTCATCCAAGGTATTTGGTTGACCCACGAACATAATGGGCACAACCCTCATTTCCCCAACAACAAACCCAACACACATCAACCTCCCACCAACCCCCCAGGCGAAACAGAGCCACAAACACCCAACCACAGTCACCACCATAATACAATTACACCCACATGCCCCACAACCAACCATAATCACCATCTCAGTACCAATACCCCCATATGCCTCACACCCAACCGCAATTTCAATCACAATACCAACACACCCGCATACCCCACACACAATTTCAGTCTTCTGCACATCCCAATATGGGCCCCTCAACATCCAACCTTAGCCCTGATCTGGGATTGTCCGAAGATTATGAACCAATCGGCCCAACTTACCATCAACCACAATATCACCAAACCACCCAACATCCTCAATACCAAATACCCCAAGATCCATTTCCTTTCTACCCCTCGTACTCAGACGAACAGTGCTACAGACCAACCATGGAACCCCACCCACCGCCAACATGACCAAACTTTAAGGGTATGGGTAACCGACTGTACTAAAGCGGATCTTCTAGATATGGAGATCTGAATGATTTCATGGATCCGGAACGCATTGACTTCGCTGGGCCATCGACCCTGCCACAGTAGGAAACGCGACGAAACCCAACACGGGAAAGGCGAGGACGGGGATGCGGAACCGGGGGTCATTACCGGGTTCCGAGGGACCACTGATTAATCTGTTTTTTTTTATGTAATAGTTATGTGTGTAATCATATTTTGTAAATAAAAAGTCAATTTTGTTGATCCTATATCGAATACGTAATGCACCGCATTGAAAAAAAATGCGAAAATTTCCCTAACAAATGCACTAAGGCGCCATCTCACTTGGCTTAGGGCAAGCCCTAAGCACCTAGGCGCCAAGTGAGATGG